ACTATCATTATCATATAGTAATCACATTAGTGGTATTTCCCTAAAGAATAGAACACTGATTCAGAAGGATATATACACCCCTATGTTCATTGAAGCCTTATTTCCAAACCAAACTATGGAAGGAGCCCAACTGTCCTTGATAGAAAAATGGGCAAAGAAGAGGTGGTACATATATACAATGGAATATTATTTAACCATAAAAAAGAGAAATCTTGCCATTTGCAGCAACATAGAGCTACAGAGAATAATTCTAAGTGAAATAAGTCAGAGAAATACAAATACCATATGATCTCATTCTCATTCATATGTGGAATTTAAGAAACAAAACTAGTGAAAGAAAGAGAGAGAGAGAGACAAACCAAGAAACAGACTCTCTAACAAACTGATGATTACCAGAGGGAAGATGGATGGAGGATGGGTGAAGTAGGTAATGGGGAATCAAGAGTACTCGTATCTTAAAAAAAAAAAAAAATGCAAATAATGGATTCTCCCCCACACTCACTGAATCTGAATGGGGCCTAACATCTGCTCTATCAAATCTTCCAGGTGATTCTAAAGGCTTGTGAACCACTGAAAAATGTTATCTTTCAGACCTTGCAGACTCCATCGCTGTAGATAGACTCCTCAAAGTGCCTGCTTTCCTTCCCACTCCCTATAGTGTTGTGGCTCCTCCTTTTGTTTCTCCTCACCCCTCAGAGCCCAAGTAGCAGTTCCAACCCACTGAGCCTCATGATCTGGCTCTCTCGGTGGGCTTTCTGTAGATGTGTACATTCTTCAGTGAAGATCACCTGTCTCTCTTTTGCTAATATGGATCACTTCTGCTAACAGTGATCCAAAGACATTGTGTAAAACAATTCATAACCCAGTAGTGATAAAGATGAGAGAATTGAGACCCAAATCCTGTCACTCATACTCTAAATGGGGTGGCCATATTAAGACAATTCTGCCATATACTCCTTTATTCCTGCATAATAAATAAAGCCATTCCATTTTATACTTAAAAGTGCACTGGTTTAGATGATAAATTAGATTATAGTAAACTGAAGTCATAAGTAATTCTAATACTATTGGAAGGTGGTCAACGAAGGATTTACTGAGAAGGAAGTGTTTTAAGGATGTCCAGTTATAAATAGGTAGGCAAGATAGGACTGGTGGTTGGGATGAAGACAAGAGAAAGATGGGACTCCTAGAGACTGAGAGTTCAGGATAAATAAGGATGTGAATGGAAACCAACTTGACAATAAACTATTTGTAAGAAAAATAAATAAATAAATAAATAAATAAATAAATAAAAATTTAAGAAAAGAAAAAAAAAGGATGTGAAACAGCAGGTTACATAAGGAAAGTAGAGTGATTCAAAGGGTCTGGAACCAGTGTCTGGTGGGAATAATAATAGATAATGCTGGTAGGAAGAGTGACTTGAGGCAAAGTCTTCCAGAGGAGTAAGAGCAATTTTGATCCTCATTATTTCCCCAATGACTTATCAATATAGTCTCTTAAGATAGTTATTAAAGAAGAAATATAGGGGCACCTGAGTGGCTTAGTAGGCTAAGTGGCTGACTTTTGATTTCAGCTCAGGTCGTGATCTCATGGTTCATGGGGTCAAGTCCTATGTCAGGCTTTGCGCTGAGAGCAGAGCCTGCTTGGGATTCTTTCCTTCTCTTTCTGTCTCATCCCCTTTCGCACACTGTCTCTCTCATAATTAAATAAATAAACTTTAAAATTAAAAGAAGAAGAAGAAACCTAGTGTGTCTTTATTTCCGTATTTATGTTGGTTCTCTGTATTTAAAATGCTTATTGCTCCTTTCCCCATCTATTTTGGGCTATTGTTTCAAGCAAACAATCATTGTACAACATAACAGAATAATAATTCATTTTCAACTTCGATTCACATTTTCAAGTTCAGCTTAAAAACAGACACCAAACGGCCCACATTGCATAATATTTTATGCCTTTATCATAGCAGAACACTAATTCTGGGATATTGAGATATATGGCCTGTCGAGAACAGAAAGGGGGGAATTATGCAAATACCTAATATGTTGTGGTATTGTTTTTCTGAATGTTAATATGATGAATGAATTCTGCTGTTAAAAATGATCATATGGGGATTTTTTTCTGTTACTGTATAGTAAAAATAACATGTTTCGTGCGGTTTGAGGACCTTACAAACTGTATAAATTAAATTTTGCATGACAAAGCTGACATAAAGCACAAAGAAATGTTTCAAAATTGTGATAAAAATTGTGTATTTGATTTTATACAACTAGTTTATGTTGTTATCCTTTTTTGCTGTTGAACATTAAAGATGTGTTTAGCACTGACAAAGCTTGAAAGGCGTTGCCCTTGGGGCATTGCATATAAACTGACCTCTTAAGCCACTGAGTATCATTATCTGCATCACAGAAGCTTCTTGCCATTTTCCTCTATTTTTATGTGGATAGTATAGATATCATATCCCTCTTTTCTCTTCTTTCTTCCTTATTTCTTTCCTTCCTTCCCCTACTTCGCCCCCCAACCAGAGCTAGTGTATCTTCTTTACCCTCTGCAGTCTGGAGTAGTGAATTTTACTAAATAACCTTCATTATTTCAGTTAATTGTTGCATTTTCCTATTAATACAGAATACATTTCAGAGTTAATAGCTCTCTGGAAAGGAAAAAGAACAATTAATAAATTCCTACATTATCCTTTGTTTAAATATCATATAGTAATTAACATATTTATTAATGCATTTACTTGGATAAACATTCTTTGAAGGCAGATGGCAATTAATATTATGTGTTAATTTAAAAAACCTATACTAAGGGGTGCCTGGGTGGCTCAGTCAGTTAAGCATCTGACTCTTGATCTTGATCTTGTCTCAGGTTATGATCTCAGGTTGTGTGGGATTGAGCCCTGTGTCAGACCCTGTGCTGACAGCAAAGGGCCTGCTTAGGATTTTCTCTCCCTCCCTCTCTCTCTGCCCCTCCCCACTCATGTTTCTCTTTCTCTGTCTCTTAAAATAAATAAATAAATATTTTTAAAAAAACATTAAAAAGTAAAAATAAAAAAATATAAACCTATAATAAGAGTAACTGAAGAATGGATTTAGCCTGGTATCCTCTACTAAGATATAAATGATGAAATATTAATTTTTCAGGATGCCAATAGAATATCTAATCTTATTTTTACTGTTTTAAAACAGCATATACTTTCAGTTGAATCTCGTATCAACACATTTATAGTTAGTATACACACAAATTTCGTAAGTAACTTCTTCTTCTATTTATAAATGTAACTGCGGTTGGCCCTTGAACAGCATGGGGGTTAGGAGCACTGATCCCTGCACAGTTGCAGATCTGCTTATAACTTTTGACTCCCCCAAAACTTAACTACTAATGGCCTACTGTTGACTAGAAGCCTTACTGATAACACAGACTGTTAACACTTATTTTGTATGTTATATATTATATTCTGTATTTTTAGAATAAAGTAAGCTAGAGAAAAAAAGTTAAGAAAATCCTAAGGAAGAGAAAATACATTTATAGTACTGCACTTTATTTGTCAAAAAATAAAACTACTTATAAGTGTACGTATGCAGTTCAAACCGGTGTATTCGAGGGTCAACTGCATTTACAAATCTGTATCCCTAATAATCTTCTGACCTAGCAATTATGTTTGTTTTGAGACATGAGAAAGGCACAGAATATTAGGTGGCAAACTAAGAGAGTAATATACAACTCTTGGTAGAAATAGCTGAGGGATCTCCGAGTTCTGGTCTTAAAACTTCTTTGTCACTTCATTTTATTTACTTATTTATTTATTTATTTTAATGTTTTTTATTTATTTCTAGGAGAGAGAGAAAGACAGCGTGAGCAGGGGAGGGTCAGAGAGAGAGGGAGTCACAGACTGAAACAGGCTCCAGGCTCTGAGCTGGCAGTCAGCACAGAGCCCGACGCGGGGCTCGAACCCACGAACCTTGAGATCATGACCTAAGCGAAAGTCAGACGCTTAACCAACTCAGCCACCCAGGCACCCCAGTAACTTCATTTTAATAAGTAGGCTTGAAACGATAGGTTTATCTTTACTCACCATTTCTTAGCAATTTAAATTTAGAAACTCTTAAAACAGAAAATATCCTCTTGTATTTTAAGGACCACACCTTTTGGCTTAGAAGACTGCTATGCATTCATTTGGTTCTCATTTGAATATTCATGTGAGATAGGGCCAAACTTCATTACTTGTGCTGTTAATAAATCTTCAGCTATAAAACAAAAATTCAAAAAGTCAGCCTGTTCTCTCTGCTTGCCTATTTATTTCCTTAAAATTAGACTCAATTCCTTTTTTTTTTTTTTTTTTTTTGTCCTTAGAGTATGTTTCTGGAATAGCACAACATATCACTTCTTGAGGTATAGTCTCAAAGAGTAGTATGGCTCTATATGCAATAATTCTGACCTTACGAAGCTAACCTGAAAGCAATCTCAAAAATGTGAACTTGTTAGTATTTATTCCATTTTTAGTAATCAGTCTAATTAAGAGCAAGTAAATGCTAAATGGACCATTGTATGTTCTTTCAATAATTGTAGTGCTGCCTGAATATAAGAAATGAATATATCTCAATGTAGATAGCCTTGTTTGTACATATGCATAAGAAACAGAAGCTCTTTTAAAGGAATAATAATTAAAATAAATTTAATTCTTTTTTGTAATATATCTTTAAATGTACCCATTTTATTTCTTGGTTTGTTAGTCTATACAGGACTTTTTTTTTTTTAAGGACAAAAAAAGACCCAACTCTGTGAATGTACCAGACACATGCATCAAGATGTCCTGCAATGAAGGGAAAGGCATATAAAATATGACCAAATGAAGAGATGTAGATGTACAGCATACATAAAACTTAGCTTGAAATCATATTTACCGCTGTTTTTATATCTGCCTCTATAGCGGCTTTAATGGCTTCAACAGGATTAGATTTGTGTTTTCCAAGTTGAAGCTCACTTGCTTTTATACTTTATAGGTCAGTTTCTTCTGGAAGAAGCTCGCCTCATAGAAGCAGCTGAGATGGCAAAAAAAGCAGCTGAACTGGACAGCACGGAGTTCGATGTGGTCTTCAGTGCTGCCCACATGCTCAGGTTAGTTTTGCTACTGTACGTACCTTAGAAGACCAACCCTGTGGCTTTGGGAAAGCAATGAGGTATATGAGTTCGCCTGTCATACCGCCTTATTCCACAATCCTGAAGTGAATTGTACTTTTTACCATGCTAAAGTCAGTCAGGAGTATTTTACTCATTAAAGTTCATGTGCACAGGGTATGTAGGGCATATAAGCATTCAGGACTCTGAAAAATATTGAGACCCCTTTTCCCATGAAAAGGGAAATTCACATTCCCTTGTGATTGCCTTCACATTCCCTTCCACATTCCCATGAATGTAACGTGTGAATTTATTTTATTATGTTTGGTGGTGGAGAGGATTGTCAAACACAAATATACCTAAGCCTTATCAAAGTCTCAAAATGGCCCTGTAATTAGCACTGTTGCTGTGTATTGAGACAATATATCTTCATAGACCTTTTAATACTTCTATTTTCAGAAAGATATTATAAAGAGTAATTACAATAATAGCAAAGCAATTAAAAGGCAGATCAACAATTTTTGTTGTGAATATAAAAAAAAAGTTTAATGCATCCATAAGGCTGTTTTTTAAGAAACTCAAATGATTTATCCAGTTTTTTTTAAAAGCAGTATTTGTTCTGTTAACAATATGGATACCCCTTCTCCCACAGTCTTACCTGAATTTCACTTAATTAAATCTCTATCTAAATGCTTCATTAGCTGACATCCACACTATGGGCTCTGTACTTGGCTCTAAGGATACGCTTATAAGTATGTAGATTACTCTTACAAGGGAAGAAAAATACCAAAGGAATTCCTTCACATTTGGATGGCTTTAAACCATGGACTTTCAAGAAAAATAGTTTTGTTTACTTTTTATTTTGAGATCATTATAGATTTATATACAGTTGTAAGAAATAATATAGAGAGATACTCTGTACCATTTATCCATTTTCCCCAATGGTAATATATTGTAAAATGATAGTACAATATCAACTGCAGGAAATTGACATTAATACAATCCACTGGTCTTATTGAATTTCTCTAGTTACACTTGTACCTCTGTATATACGTGTATGTGTGTGTGTTTGTGTGTGTGTGTGTGTATTTATTTCTGTGCCCTTTTTATCATATGTGTATAGGTTTGTGTATCTATCATCATAGTCAAAGTACAGACTAGTTCCAATGCCACAAGTATCCCTTGTGTTGTCCTTTTAGAACCACATGGCTTCCTACTTAGCTTTTTATAAGTTTTGAATAGGAAATTCAAAGTCTGTTTGAGAGGAAAGAGTGTACTCTGAGGTTTCAGTTGAATGCATTCACTCCATATTTAACATTTAGAATTACTAAAGCTGGTATCTAGAAAGAGAAACCAGCGTTCAATCAACTTTTGGTATATTTATAAAATAAACTATAGCCAATCTGCAAGAACTTTCAATGCAAGGATAATTTTTAAAGGACACTTACATTTGCATGACAAGCTTAGGTACTATTATAGGGAGACAAATTTGTTCTTCATGAATAAAATACCATGCTTTTAGTCACAATAAACCATTTGCAAGGATGGATATGCACAACTTTTTACAGGCTAATTCATCTTAATCATAATAGATACTTCCATCATTAAGGCATTTTGCTACATATTAAGTCAGTATCTGAAATTCAAAGTCTACCAGTAGAAACCTATTATAAGAACACTACAAAAATAATGTCCTTGTTAAATATATCACTCATAACTTTTCCTTAGTTACCATAGTGCTAGAAACCAGTGGAAATTTTTTGTTATACATTGGTGATGTGGAAATCTTGAGGAATTATTTTTCAGAAACTTCTTTCTAGGTTTCCGCAGCCTGCATTCCTCATTAAGTTGCAGTCAACACCTTCCTAATATTGATTGCAATTATGAGCACAGCAGGCTGGCTATAGCCTACCCAAATTGGTGGCAGTATCCATGAATGTTTTTACTCCCTTTTTTCCGTTTTTCCCCTTTATCAACTTCAACTATTTCTTGAGCAAACTGAATAGCAGCCTTTTCCTTACTAATCAAGAGCAGTTAGGACTTTGTTTGCTGAAAGGAATGAGAAAGGCTACTGGTTTTGCCTTGAGCAGCATTATCAAAATCCTTAGATATCAAGATCTTGCTTATTTAATGTTACATGTAACATTTCCTCTAGGAATGCCAAATTATTGTAAACTAAGTTTGATATTAATTCTTGCCTCAGAGCTCTGTTGTTTTGCAAGATACTCAGGAGACAAAATTGGCAGGGGGTGGTGAAGGAAAGAGTGTTAAGGCAGGGTATGAGGGAAAGAGCGGATATCTCACTGGTTGTGTCTTGGTTGGCTGGATTAATGGCTACCCTTCTATCCAAAGTCAGCAATTTAGGAAATGTTATAGTTCAAGGAATGGTTTGAACATATTAATTTAACTTCCCTTTCCTTGACTAATTCCCAATGAAATTGCCGAAAGAATCTATTAATGAGGAAAAAACATTCCTTATCACAAACGCAAAAAAAAAAAAAAAAATTCATTCCACCTAGATCAGACTAGATTGGGAGAGGCAAAGTCCGGAGGCTAGCCATCAATGGACAAGTTTTGATCTTCTTGGGACCTTCAATAGGGTTGAAATTTGAGAAATTTCAAACAGAGCCAGTTCAGCTCTCGATAGTGGATAATGATCTTTCTCTGTGGAATCAGCACATAGAAAATTTTGAAATAAATGATTTCAGATTGTCAGTCTAGATAAGAGTGACAAATCAGATGAATCCAAGTAGAGAGCCCTCATGAAAGCAGTGAGATTTACATTAAACCTAAGAGCCACTTAGAATATCTATAATTCCTGTTACTAAGGTGATTCATAAGAACACTATGTGGTGTGGAAGAATTAATGCTGTTCACGAAATCTGTAGGCCTTCCACCTTCGGTAAACATAAGAAGATTGTACTTTTCTGCCTTCTTCCAAGTTGCAGACCTTCATGGATCTTATTTGGGTTGTTGAATGTGTGTGAGTATGAGTATGTCACTTTTTTTTTTTTTTTTTTTTTACAAATAGTTTATTGTCAAATTAGTTTCTACATAACACTCAGTGCTCATCCCCAAAGTGCCCTCCTCCATGCCCATCCCCCCCTCCCCCCCACACCCATCAGTCCTCAGTTTTTGTCAGCATTCAAGAGTCTCTCATGGTTTGCCTCTCTCCCTTTCCCCCACCATTTCCGCCCTTCTTCTCCCCCTTGTTCCTCCGTCAAGTTCCTCCTAATCCTCNGCTCAGCATAACCCCCTCAAGGTCCATCCATGTTGCTACACATGGCCAGATTTCATTGTTTCTCATTGCCATGTAGTATTCCATGGTATAGATAAACCACATCTTCTTGATCCATTCATCTGTTGATGGACACTTAGGCTCTTTTGAGCCAAAGCTGTTGAGTCCAGGCTTTTCCCTTTTCTGATGTGGAAATTGTGGAAATTGATCATGGAATGACCAGAGGCAGACAAACTTCCCTTCTCACCTGCACTGAATGAGTGAGTGAGGAATAAACTTTGTTGTCTTATTTCACTGACATTTAGAGTGTATTTATGACAGTGTCATGTAACCTAGCCTAACTGACACAGAATATATCTGTGAAAATGAAATAGGTAGTTTGAAAGAGGAACAGTATGACATTAGAAAAGATTACTGAGAGATTAACAAGATTTCTGAGTTTATAACTTCAGTGGAAGCAATATATAATTGTTAGACTGGTTATTTTATTATTTTCTAAGTGTTTATTTTATTTTTGAGAGAGAAAGAGAGAATGAGAGTGCACGCAAATGTGAGGAAGGGAGGAGCAGGGAGAGAGGGAGAGAGAATCCCCGTGCTGTCAGCAAGGAGCCTGACACAGGGCTCGAACTACTAAAAAGTTAGCCCGACTGAGCCACCCTAGCACCCAGTAGACTGATAAATTAAATAAAAGCTATAGGTTTCTTTTCAGAACTTACATCAAAAGCACTAAAGACATCAAAATGATGACTGAAAGGGTAAAAGATTGGAGGATGGATAGAGAACATTGTATATATACTCATAATTACATATATGCTAGTATAATTATATGTAGTGTACAGATATGTGTATATACCATATATAGTATATATGTGGTATGTATATAGATATAATATATAGTCTTATTTGTATGTATATAAGGATTGTGTATAGTTATATGCTATGTATGTGTGTATATAGTCATATTTAGCATTTATACATATATATATTTTATTGGATTTTATATATATAAATGTTAACATAAATAGAAAATTTCTAAAGGCAAGCATAGAACACATTAGCAAATATCAACAAATAGAGAAAATTTCCAAGCTAGGATGAAGTCTTCTGTCATCATATTGAAAGCAAAATTGCTGAAAATAGATCTCCTAAACTTGTCTTCATGTCTGGGTTTTTTACTTTTTAGTTACACACTAAAGAATTCTTTCTTGCCAGTTTAAGCAGAAGCAGGATTTATTAACATAGTTTATAAAAATGTCTATTTTCAAATCATAAAATAACATTGATTATTAAAAAAGAAAAGCAGGGTTTATTGAGAGACTATTCTGTAGCCCACAGGGTCTGTCTTTGGCTTGAAAGCATTCTACACAGGCAGAAATAATGCCCACCCATCTAGCTTTCTCTGGGACTCAGCAGCATTTACAGTCCCAAGCTCCATCACCATCACCCACAAAGCACCAACCGGAACAAGCCTCATATTCATTAGATGGTCCTCCCGGGTGCAGCTGGCTCAGCATTAGGCTTACTGCTGACCTCGATTCTCTTGCGGTTGCACTTGATTGGTGAAACGTGAGTTATATGCCAGAATCTTGGCTACTAGAGAGTTGGAAGACAGGGAATTTCTGGCTTCTGCTGTCTTAGGAAGGTGGGGTCCACATCGTCACTGATTACCAAATATATTTATAGAGAGGGTGATCGCAGATGTTGAGTGGCCTCACATAATGAATATTAACCATATGTGTTGACATTTTTAGTACTTCAAATA